CTTTTGTTGGCAGTAATCCACCGTTTCTCTTTGTACATAATGCTTCTTCACTTCCGTGGTACATGCATTGGCCTGGACAGACAACCAGAGTAACGAAATGATAGAAGCGAAGAGGAGAACGCGAAACGAAGTGAGACGAAATGACGCACAGAGGAGAAGAAGAGTGTGCTAACTTCATTTGGTCAAGCGTGATTCGATATTTATTCTCATACAATGAATAGGGTGGGTAATCAACTCATACACTGTAACAAAACAATCAAGGTTACTAAGCGAATAAGTGACCAGGTAAAAGTGTTTCTTGAGAAGAGTGAATGGATTAATTTGTCCAGAGTCTAGAATAACCTATTTAGGATTGACATAGCACTAGCTCCTATAAAACCCTCCTTTGGAAAATAGCAGATTACTTTTCAAAAATGTCTGTTTTCTAAAATAACACTGAAGACGTATGTGGTTGAATCTAACAACAAGTAGTGAGAAAGTTTGTACTATATCTGACAAAGTGCAGTGTCACGTGAGGAGTGAGTATATAACATGAAAGTGTCATACTTACGTAAAATATACATGAATATCGTGAAGGCACGGACGAAAAGAAGTTAGCATTAGATTATAAGCAAATTAATAAGTGTGCAGAAAACAACATAGGTTTATATTGTAACTGTCTAGATAATAAAATAGTACGTTCGCATGAGTGATTTAAACGATCGTGAAAACAAAGTAATGAATCGTTTGTGACAGAGGAAACAATAGTGAAAGTGAGTAGAAGAGAATATGACAGAAATTGATCTGTTGTGCCGCCAGAATATAAGGATAAAAATGGTTGAAAATGAGTAGGTTCTAATTAACCTCAGTAGAGTAAATAAAGTCGATTAACGATTACTGGATTTCAATTTACACACATGGAGTTTGTGTGAAAAAAACAATCCATCAGCAAAATGATAACTGCATCGATGGCTGATATTCCTTGCTGTACTGCAGTTGATAAAACCATGAAACCCGAAGTCAGTCTACGTTGTCGTTCTAGTTATAACCATACGAGTTATTGTTAAATATGTATTAGTAGAATGACCAGAGAAATGGAGTAGTAACTGTGGAGATGAAATATGCTGAGTCGTATTCCATCTTGGTCGTGAAGCCTAGCGTGGTTTATGTCGTTTAAAGTTGATGCGGTCGACCCCATTTGTTACGAAACCGTACTAAGACATGATAAAGAGCCAGTACGTATGATTGTTCACGACGGGCGAATGAAACTGACCTGCATGTGCATTCCCGAGAGAATAGCTCTAAACTTTGTGTTCTAACAAACAGTGCGACAGGAACAAAGTATTAATTTCAGTAATCAAGTAATGTTTGCAGGCAACGAACACTATGGGGTGCACTTATACATGTGGACAAATAGATAAGATGAACATGATCGTTACTAATCGCCTAGTAATGCGACGTCGAGTCTTTGATGCATGTATAGACATTAAGTCAAGGGTCATCAATTGGGCGAAAAATGGCTGAAGTTTAGTTTAGATTGTCGTTGAAAAAGTAGAAAATGGAGATTGCTGCGTACATATACGATGAATGTACATAACTTGCCTGTAGAGAACATAGGTTCCTACTACCGGAAGTATGACTCCAAACTTATATTTATGATAGTTTCTAACCGCTGTTAGTGTTGATGTGGTTGTGACCATGCCATAATCAGCATGCAGGATGTTCGCTCGACTACTTAGACAGAGGACCCATGTGCAAGGGCGGGTTACTTGACCGCCAATTAACTTACCAAGTCGCAGGTTGTTCAGTATACGAACGGCTAGTAAAGACGTCAGAAATATATGTTATGATATAGTACTGAAAATGCCACAGGTATTTGGATTTTGACAACGCTTTAACCAGTAACACCTAAAGTGAATCGTACCCACCAATTGAAATCAAAAGACAGAAGCGAGGAGGTTCGAAGATATATTTGATAGGCTCTCAGTATATTGATGATCGTCTGATCTAATCTGGACAGCGATTGCAGGGGATGATGAGCACGGCGTTCCAACTCGTGATCTGGTGTGGATGCATAACTGAGAGCCGAAAAAGGGAAATAAACTCATGCACACGTATTAGCGTAAAAAAAGATTTTTATAATATGGTTTTTTTAAAATATAAATATATAAGCATATTAAAATTGTTTTTTTAAATATTGCATTTGGTACAAAGAAAAATCGAGATGATATAAAATGTCAACCAGTATCTTACGTGCAATACTCTTTTCAGTGTTCTGGAAATCTTACTCTTCTTCCAGAACGCGTAGTTATGAGTTTATTTTCTGATACTGCCAAAGTATCATCGTGCGTGTTGGCTGTCGAATGAGGTATTATAAATATAGGAGCCGTGTCGTTCGATTGTGCCGAAGGAAAATCAACGCGAATGGGATTTCCTTCTACAATACGCTACTTTGAGGCGATCGATGCTGATGCTATCGCTGGGTCCGTTCTTATCGACTACATAATACTTGGGCACGCGTTGAACAACTTTGAAGGGTCCTTCGTATACTGATTCGAGAGGTCATCGATGTGAGTCTCGACGAACGAAGACACGTGTGCTATGTCGTAAGTCAGGTTGAACGAAAACATCAGTTGATTGAGGTCGAGTGGAAACAGGTTTAACTGAATGCTTTGCGTTTGTAAGCCTGTTTGTGTAGAAGGTTAGATCCATGTTCATTGAAGAAGATGAAGGACCCACGAATTCTCTTGGAAGTCGAAGTGTCATTCCATGAACGAGTTGAGCCACTGTTTATCAAATGTCGGCTTTCACTGCATTGCGAATACCTAGTAACACGAGTGGAAGAGCGTCAGTTCACTGAGAAACGTTTGCAGCTGATAGGAAAGCTTTTGGTTGTCAGTGAAAGCGTTCTACCAACCCGTTTGCTTGTGTGTGGTAGGCAATCGTTTGGAAGCGAGTGATTCCTAAAAGTGTGATCAAACGACGGAAAAGTTCAGATTCAAACTGACGTCCGTGATCTGTAGTGATGGTTGAAGGGCAGCCGAAGTTTGCTACCCATCGTTCGACGAAGGTGCGAGCCAATGTCTTAACAGTGATGTCCTTGATATTTACTACTTTTTGCCATCGAGTGAAACGGTGTCTAGCAACCGTCTAGAGGAAAATGCCAAAGGTTGCCTGGAGGGGTTAACCCATTGTTGTAAGACTCCTTCGATTGCTGAGCCGGATGCGTCCAATACGACAGTAATGGGTGCTTGAGTTTCCTGATGTGCAAGCATTGTTGCTTGAGCGATAATTTCCTTAATTGTGAAGAATGTTTTTCGCGCGGTGTCGTCCAGATTGATGGATATCGCATTTCCATAAAGTCGGTCCGTTAGCGGTTTCATAAATGACACGCATTTCGGTGTGAACAGTCTATAGAAACTTAGTAGGCCGTTAAATGTGCGTAGTTGTTTGATGGTGGGTGGTTCTCGGTAATTCAGAATGGCTGCCTCTCTGGTCCTAAGGTGTCGGATGCCTTGAGCATATATAGTGTGTTCTAGGAAATCTAATGAGTCGGTTCCGATTTGACATTTCTGAATGTTTACGGTAATGCCATGTTTTTGTAGTCGGTCGAAAACAAGATCCAGATGCTTGAGATGCGATTCTCTGTCCGTACTTGCTATTAGACAGTCGTCATGTGCTTAATTGTGACTGGGGATAGTCTGCGACCGGATAAAAAAGTTACGCAAACAGATAAATTAGTGTTTCTGTCTACTATAGTAGACAGAGGCTATAGCTTCCGCTTGCGCGTATCGATGATTAGATTATGGTGTTGTAGGAGGTCTATACTAATGGTTGGAATAGAAACATCTGCAACATTGAAAATCTAGTGAATAGGCTTGCGTAAACCCATTTTAGGGTAAACGTACCTTTTGCCGTACGTAGCGATAGGCTTTTCGTTTGCCGCCTGTAAGTTCAAAGCAGATTCGTGAAACCGGTAGTTGGAATTCGTTGGGAGAACGCTAACTTCTGCGCCAGTGTCGACAAGGTAGCGAACTTTCGTTATCACATCTGTGACGTATAACAGCCGGCTGCGGTTGCCTTTAACGCATACCGGCTTGGAATTTTTCCGAATTGTTTTTAGTGTCGGTCGATTCTGAGTTGGAAAAATGGCAGGGTTTTCTGCAATTTCTGGGGGATTTTCCATACTGGTTATGATACCAGCACCATTCGGAGTTATCCGTCTCTCGTGGTCTAGAAACAGATCGCCTACGTGAAGTGCTTCTTCGTGGATTGTGTGACCGTTTACAGTCGTTACGACATTTAAGTTAACGTGTAAATGTACGACGTAATTCCGTAATATCATTCTGGGCCGTTTGAAGCTTTTCTTTGATTGAAAAAAACCTCGGCATTAGAAGATTTCGTGATTTCTAAGATGTGGTCGGCAGATGCAGCCAGCTCGTCTAAGACGTTGTTCTGAAACGAGACCAGCACAGCTTGCACCTATTGAGGAAGTTTGGATAAGAAATGTTGTTTGAATAGGCCATCATCGAAGGTTCCTTGGCAGATAACCTCTCTCATTCTTTGTAACATGTCTGTCGCTGAACCGTGTTGCCAGCCGATGTTATTAAAGAGTTGGTCTAACCTTTGTCGATCAGTTAGGTCGCTGCGTCTAAGGATAGATCGTTTCAGTGTCTCGTAGGGTTCCGAAGCATCACTAGTAAACACGCTAGGTGTTACGTACCTGTTGAATTCGCGCGGTATTGCCTTGACTGCTGCGAGGAATTGTGCACTTCTGTCGTTCACGCCATGCTCGTAGAAGTTGGCTTCTGTGTAGCAGAGCCAGGCTTCGATGTTGTCTGGCCAGAAGGGCATTAGTTAGAACTCAAGTACCTTGGGTGTCTGTTCAGTCATGGTGAAGTATCGGAGTACGAGAATGAACGAGTGAGAAAATATATTTATCAAAAACACGGAAAAAATCAAAGTGTATAAAAAACTAGAATAAGGCAATGATATGTAAAATCCCAAAAAGGAACAGACCCACAGTAGGCGGAGCGTTTACAGGCGCGTTCCTTGAAGTGTTTCACGTTATGGATCGTAAGACAGTCATCAAAAGCAAACTACAAGGAATAGAGAGGTATTAACCTGTATGTATTTTAAAAGACATTAGCTATAACCCTGAACACATAACAGCACTTGAAGAACATCTTTCATGGCAGATCATAAATAATGATTATGATTTCGAAGCTAATTTAGCTCTGCTTAGATTGTATTTAACAAGTCTTTGTGATTAGCTCTTCTTACATAGATATCAGTTCTATCCGGAACGTTTCAATGCTGAGTGTGCGAGGTTAGTGCTGCTGAAGGCAATTATAAGCATGAGTCACTCAGATTTTACATTGTGCAAGTACTTGATTCACCTAGAACATGTAAGTAGTTGATATACATTATTAAAGTTAGCTCAGTGAAGAGCCACTTTCACAGGTTGTGGAACTTGGGTTTCTCCTGGAGACCTGTCGGTTTTCTGAGTTTTGGGTTTGTTCAGTTTCATTGTTTTACTTAGTGTGTAGACGAAAGTTAAAGAAAACCCCAAAGTTTTTTCTGCTATCCCTGGATTCCGTGAATCTGTATGTAGATGTAAGTACTGCCTTCTCCAGAATTTTATATACTTAATTTTTTAATGTGTAACCTAGTTTTCATAGAAACAGTTTCATGCATTTGAATCCATTCATTTACTGTGTCTATAACTTGCTTTATGAACATTGTTTAAGAATATTTTTTAAAAAACTAGGTTGTGCCCATAAGTCTTAGTGGTTTAACGACATTTTCCGAAATATGTTGCTGTGATCTAAAGTAAACTACAGCGGTGTACTCAATAATTACAACTTGTAGATATCTGTCACCAGTCAGTCAACTACAACGTACGACCAGACACATATATGCATCGACCCAAGTAGCCACACTTCATTAGCCCTAAATTCATAGGAGTAGTTACTTCAATAGTAATATATAGACGGAAGATTTCATATAAGAATATAATGCAGAGAGAAAGAATTCGTTGGTAGAAAGAAAGGTATAAAACAATTTTAATCTCATAGTTTAAAGGGAAGACAAAGAGTGTATACACCAATGCCATTGTGATCGGTTCTCAGTCATGTCACTCAGAGTCTCCAACCATTGGTCAAGACAGTCATGTGGACCACAATCAAGTAATCTTCATTTACCAACATGATTCATACCAGAGGTTAGTGACTTCAAGGACTGATGCCACGTTTTGGTTTGGTAGCCCCCAACTTTCTTCCAAACGGCTCCAACACTAGTCAGCACTGCACGCCGTGGTAACCAGTGTTCAGGTATATGTAACACGTTGCCCAACCCTCTCAGTCGATGAAGATTCACAACCTCATCAGCTGATTTATCGTGGCCTGCGTCTAGTTTCACCATTACTTACTCAGTGATCCTAACAGATACGAGCAATATTTCTAAGACATCTGTGATCAAATACTAGTAACTTACGAGTATCTTCTACCGTTATTAGCCACGTTTCACAGTCGTAAAGTTGAACAGAATGACCTGCTGTACAGTATACCCATCCCTTAATCTATAGACGGTTATCTCACCCTTGCTATAGTTGAGACAAAAACCAAACGAGCTTTTCGAATCCTTGTATAGATTTCGTCAGACACCAACCCGTTAGGGCTGATCAAACTTCCAAATAAATGAAGTTGTCAACGCGTTCAACTATTTCACTCTCTATCCTTAGTTCAGGTGTTGATGCCGACCAGTCCTGAAGCACTGCTGATTGAGTATTTTAGTTGTTCTCTGACAAATAATATGTTCATCAAATTGGTATTGTGCTGTGTTCTTGTTTAGTTAATCATAAGTCACTCATCCACTGTAGAAGAGTGGTAAGCTAGTGATTTAAGCATTTGTGTTCAGACTAAGTTTGGGAACCATAGCTGCTACTTTGGTGTAGTTTCCTTTTGATTGCCTTTGTGAGTATTGGCTGGAACACGTCTCTTTAGGTTCTTCTATGCCCATGTTAAACAGTGTATTTCTTCAAAGATTACTAAAAAGATGAATTACCAGATACATAATCAAGTGCTGTACAGGCAGGTTAGTCAAAATCGTCATGTTGAAGGGGCGAGATTTTAGTGTGGCTAAAATAAAAGCCGTTGTAAGTTAGGTAGTTGGTCAGAGAAAAAATCCTTCACTACAGGTATACGATATATTAAAAAAATGCGACAGGAACTCATTAATACACTTTTGAGATTCTTTCCACAATTCATACTTAATTTGAACCCTATTTTCTGATCTGAATCAAACTTTGAAACTTAAAAGGCTCACCATGTAGTTTTAAGTGTAGTTTCCGAAGACCAAAAATGACACTTCCTGAAGTCCAGTCGTCGGCTTTAATGAGGCATGGTGCTAAAACTGTAGAGGGGTAGATAATTATAAGGAAGTGGACGTGCGATTCGATCTTGAACAAGGCAATCTTGTGTTCTGATTAAGATGTGTGGTTGGTCATCACTTCTCGGTCGCACGCACTGTTGAGGCATACTTCATGGGAAGGAAAGTGGTTTATTAGTGATTTTGTTAATTTGAGAGTGCAAATGCGCAGCCCACGGGACACATGTTCGCTGTTGTTTACGCATGGTCTTTTTGAGAGTAGTTTTTAATGTTACCTCTATACTTTTAGTACCTTACCACTGACGACGTGAACTTGTGGGGTAGTGTAGTGTTATGTTACATTGCGGGGAGACTGCATGACTGTCGGAAGGGGATATCTCACTGTTTTCCAACTAATCTATCTAGCATAGTAAAACCCAAAAGAACAAGTTTCGTTGTCATTGTAGTTCGAGTGGGTCATCACGACAGACAGGTCTGACTACCAATATATGATAGCAACAGTTAGGAATTAAACAAATTTGAAATGCACAGACTCTCTTTAAAGAATTGTTCAGGAAGTGACTGGATATTATCAGTTCAAATTCCACTCGAATCGTTCACTTGTTCGGTGATGTAGTTTTCGGTAAAAATTAAGGATTCACTTATCACTATACATTCAGTGTGGCCATAATAATAATCTTCGTTTGAAACGTGATGTTAGCTACCAAATAACTGTGGTCGCCTATCGATGGGAAACTATCTAAAAACTCCTGAACTGTAACGCATTCTAAAACTCATTTGAGTTTGAAGAAATCAGTAGTTGGATTTGACGCACTTTTTTGATTAGAGTAATGGCTGCATGATTCACAAATAACGTATAGTATTTCAGAGCGCATAACCTTCATCTACTCCTTATCAGTCTATGTGAGATAAAATCAGTGACTATCTATTATACATTTCAGCAAGGTAAATTTTAAAACCAAAACCCCTCTAATTATTTTTCAATGGATTAATAAGGTTGCAACTGGAACACATGGCACATTTTATACAAATCCGGTGATATAATTCACTTGTCAAGCACAGATTCGTATACTCAACCGTAAGCCACATTTTACATTTAAAGACTAATGGTTCCATCCAAACCAAAGTAGGTGAAGCAGGGTTGAACCTGCAACCTAGTCGCATTATAAATTTTTGCAAACCAACCATGGTTGAGGGCCTATTATTACGCAACATATCCATTAGTCTAGTTCATAATTTCAATAGCTTAGCTCCTTAGTCATTTATTTATTTGAACACAAATATTGGTACAAAGGGCACCGAATACATATGCGCCACACAGGTCACTTTATTTGTGATACTGCCTGGGCGCCCAGATCAAAGCAGGTGGTTTTCTTAGAGGGACACTCGGAGCCTTCAACCTAAAGGTCTGATTCCCAAGGCAGTGGAGAAACGTCAGGAGATGCAGTTCCATGGTAGCCTCTGTCAGAGAAGTCCTACTCACTGCCTTTTCGTAGCGGGGGTGTTGTTTACGAGATTGAGAGGACGAAAGGCGATTGTCCGGCGCTTTGACTGGATTCGAAACCAACGGTGCACATGGCCCCCAGTATCCTAAAGGAACAAGTGGCGTGTGAACCAATCGTTGGTCACCGGCTACCATGTGACTGCATCTCCTCACGATGCCCCACTGCCTTGTGGGTCAGACTTTAAGGTCAAAGGCTCGGGGTGTGGCCCCCTAAGGAAACCATCTACATCGGTCTGGTCACCCGGGCAGTATCCGAGCCCTCACACAAATCGAATGATTTATGTAGCGCATATCTATTTGGTGCCTCCTTGCACTAATGTTTATGTGTTTAAATAAAATAAAAACCCGTGGTGCGAAAAAGGAAGTGAGTAGGACATCTAGGGTAGTAGTTGTATGCATGTGAGAGCATTTCTCGAGAATGAGCTGACTCCCCGTTCTTGGATGTATCGGGACATTTGGAAGGTTCGTCTGAGATGCAGTCCTATGGTAGCCAGTAACCAACAGTTGGTTCATACACCATTCATTCATTGGATATTTAGAGTTGCATATATGTATATATATATATATTTCTCTCCTTTAAATAATTTCCATGGTCTTTTCATCTCTCTGTCTCTACATTTATATATATATATATGTATATAGTTATTGTCCAAATTATATCTCAAACATATCAACGTATATCAAAAACCTTATTAATGAGCTTTTTGGATATGTCAGAGAATGATTTAAAACAATTTATTAAACAATTTGAATGGTCCGAAATCACTGATCATCATCATCAACTTATCTTAATTAATAATCATGAAGAGAATATTAAATCAATACAAATACGTGAACGTGTCAATTTCGATTCGATCACATCAATGTCCGGTGCATTTAGACCATCAAAAAGTGATTTTTTCATTAAAACTAACATACAATCATAATTATCATATCAATCAATCAATCAATGATTTATTTCATTAAAAAAAAAGAAAAAAGAAGCAAAGAATATTCCATTTTTAAATCATTGAAATAGAAAAAAACATTTCTTTGTGTAATCATTTTTCTTTTTATTATTATTATTATACATTTTGCCCAACAATTGATTTGTGTGTGTGTGACAACAAAATAATCATGATATTTATTGATGAATAATCAGTAAGTCAGTTAGCAACAACATAGAACTTTGTATCTACGTACGTATGTACATCCAGTTCAAGTTGCCATAGCATAAAAGTCAAATAATCTATAATAAGAGATAAGAGATTATAAAGTAAATTAACGGAAATGATAACTATTCAATTGTTACACATATGTGCTTATATATTAAAAAAAAATCTTATTTGTACAAGCAAAAACTGAAAATGAATGAAGACAGAGAGAAAGAGAATGTTTTAAAAACTGAGATCATTCTATTGTGGATAAATTAAGAAATGGTGTTTGAAACATATGCTTAGATACTTGTTGTGAGGTAGATGGAAATAGAGTAAGTAATGGAAGAAGCCATTGGAATGATTTATTTAATAAATAATCATTTGATGGAGTGGTAGGAGTAGTTGTAGTAGTATTAGTAGTAGTAGGAGGAATGTTAGTTGTTGTTGTTGTTGTTATGTTAGATGACAAGTCATATTTATTTCGATTTATTTTTGAAATAGTGCCAAATTTTTGTTTAATTATTTGACTGAATCGATGCACCGTTTTAGTAGTCCATGACCAAGAAGGCAGCAGATCACGATGTGTATTATTTGTAATCTATTATAATATGAAATAGACAATACAGAATAGAGAAGAGCATTAAATAGACATTGTTATATTGTTATGTTAAAAGATTTCACAGCTAAATCTAGTCTGTTCATTTAATTTAGCGTGAAAGTTTTTTTAAAAAGTAAGTGAATGAACATTGCATATACATGGAAAAAGTAGGGGGGCAACAGTGATGATATTCAAACCGTGACCAATGTAGCCGATATTTTCAATCTACAATGTAGATGAATCCAAACAGAATCTTACATAAGCAAAGATGGATAGTGGGTAGCAGTGGAATCCAGGACGCGCGTTTTGTCCCGTTTGGGACTCGTCGACTGGATGTACCTGCATCTTAGAGTTGATGTTCACGCTGGGACTTGAACCTAGTACCGCGATTTATTTGAATCTTCTCACTCCATTGCACAAGCAAATGGCTATCAGGACTCAGTAGCTAAGTGGATAACGCAATGGCGTTTGAAGCGAACGGCACTGGATTCGAGTCCCAGAGTGAACATCAACCCCGACATGCAGATACATCCAGCTGACGAGTCCCAAAATAGGACGAAACGCGCGTCCTGGATTCCACTGCTAGTCACTACCCATCTTTGCTTCCAATGCTTGTGAATTAAGGCAATATCGAGCTAATACACATATGCCTGTAAGAAACTGACCAGTTGTGGTGCTAAACATCAATGGGAGGATTCAAGTAAACAATACCAAGCAAATTTAGAACCTTATATACAAATTGAATAGTCACTCTTTATGCAGCATCAGTAGTGCATTTGTATAATTTAACACATTAGTTTGTGTTTTCGATCAGTTTGACGAGGCAATTTAAATAATCACGCAAAGCTTTTAAATTATGCCCAATGTTTCGCCACAGATATTTGATATGGTTTGAAGATTATTTTCATCAAGAACTGTAACTTACAAGATAAAAATTAAAAGCCAAGAAACAATAAATAACCGTTTCACATCAGTTTGAAACAGGGATCTTTAAATCTGTTGGCGAATGCAATGTATCTTTGAAGAAGCTGAGTTGATATTCTATGATACACATTCCTGACTTCAGCTAACTCTTGAAATATCATGGCCATCATTGATAAATAAAACGTATCACCACTCACTGATAGCTTGATAAACGCAACATACGTCACAGACTTCCGCTAGAACTTAAGAAACTCTCCAAGATAGTCAATAACTAGTCAGAATATTTTAGATGCTTCTTCTTAAGTAGTTAGTAATTGTAAAAGATTATTTGACTGGTCATATATTGAATTCTGTTCAAATTTATTTGTTGTGTTTTATTACTTTGATAAATAAGAGTGTGCAACATGATACGATAAGAGGAAGTTTGAAACACCACTCTAACTTTATATTCAATGTCTGGTAAGTTAATGTTCATAAAACTGTTACAACATTGTTTTAGAGCATTAGGTGAGTAACATTGATTGCCAGGATGACCTGGCCCTAGGTTTCGGGCTATTTGGCACTCGTCAGTAATCTTAAGGGAGTTTATGATTCTTTTAGAGTACAGATCCGCATCATCCAGTGTTCACAGTTCGAGACTGCACTACTGAGTTATTTGGGTTTCGACTGGTCTATAGAAATCGATCAGCCCAAAGAACGGTGCTGGTCACTGCTCAATTGCAAACTGCCGTAGTAATAATAGTTATCTGACTACCGTTTACCTCGACACACAATACTAGCTTGGGTAGGCTTCACGAAAGCCGGGAGCGGTCAAACTAAGACACGGGATCATTGACTGTTGAAATGAAGTGTTCAGAAATTTCATACGATTGATTGCCTTTATGAATTTGAGTAAAGCCTGAAAAAGCATCATATAAATTTATTATATTTCGTGGTTTCTCATCAACTGCTTACAACCATTGATATGTATTGAAAGTTAACAATGAGGTAAGGTATAAAGTGAAGCAATTAGCATAGATAAACGAAATGAATTAGAATGATAAAGGTTATCAATAATAACTATATATATATATATGCATGCTCAAAAACGGGTTACAGGTCATTTGGATTTGGCATTGAAAACATAAGTGGTGGGTGATGCATTAATCAAATAAGGTCCATAGACAGATGAGATAGATTGTGTGATAATTTTAAAGGTTATGAAGTGTTTACATAAGATTACTGGAATTAAAGGTTGATAAGATGGGTTACGTAAATAATTGAACAGAATTTGAAGAGTTCACAAAAGTTTTCACTCACTTAATTCTCTTTCAATACATATATGGTTGGAAGCAGCTGATGAGAAACCACGACATATAGTAAACTCATATTATTCTGCATCAATTTTTGTTTTGGCTTCATTCGAAATAAACTGCAAACTGTTAGGTTAAGAGCCGCGCGACCAGTGGTTGGGAACACTGGGTGACATAGTGACAGATCCACTCTTGATTTCTAGTACTTCGTCATGGATACGTTTTCATTTTTTCTCTCCAACTATATTCATGATATCTTATCTTTCTTATAGTCACTGGTGCTAGTATTATTTCAATTACTGCCATTTATCTTAATAATTCTGTCTTGTGCTAACGTAACACAGCAGGTGCTAATAAGGGATCAGATTATTTAGTCTCATATTACATATTTTCCGAAATGCTAGTCTCCATGATAGTAATATTTGCTGTTACCTGATTGATTGTTGTTATATTTCGTTTGCTATTTTATGTGTTCTAACATTATTGGATGTTTCAACATAAGCAGACTTATTCTTTCCCAGTTTTTGACTTCTGTACGAGATATAAAGTTATCCTAGAAGCCCCATTCTCACTATCTCATTATTAATGCGTGGATTATTAACGTTAAAGCGTTTTTGTGCATCAGATGTACGGTCTATTCGATTCGTTGCGTCGTATTAGAAAAAGTCTCAATCATTCGTAAAGGGAATTTACCCACAGGAAACCCCAATACATTAATTGTTTTTACTAAGGTTTAACAATCACAAATGAAAATTTCTAATATCTAATTCAGTGGCCATGATTCCGAGTACTGTCAATTTTCATCTCCTCATTTCCGTTGCTATTTGACTGGTCTTCCCGGTCTCCCACATTGTCCGGATGTTCCATGTACCTATAAAAGTTGTTGTTCTTGGCTGTTAGAAGAGGCATCGGCCTCGTAACTTCGGAAGAATCTCGGCTTTCATCTTGAGGAGTCATAATTCTTCCTTCAACTCTGGGGGCAGAGTTTAGATGGTTTAATTTGTTTAGTCTGGTTGGCGTTTTTTCTTAGCAAGACGGGGTTGCCGACCTTATGACCAAACCTTTAACCGGGCTTGTGACCGGCAGTAACTTTAGAAGAGCTACAGGCGGCCATATCAAAATCAATTTGTATATATAAATGAACTGGTGAAGAACAAAAAAAAACAGTTACCTGAATATCGGAATTCAATGCAACACCAAATTGATCAGCATGTTCCATAACTTTGGAAGAACTTCTATTTGAATTTTTACATGTCATTGATTGTATACATGAATATTGTACAATTGGAGACATTAATCGATACACTTTTTCTTTATTTGAATGATTTTCTAAAACTAATACAGTTTGATGAATACAATGACCCTTCAATGGAGGTTGATTATTGTGATTATTATTATTATCAAAGCATGCATCTTGTATACGTAAGACTTTACATCGACTAGCTGAATACTAAGATAAATGAAATCAAATGTTATATAGAATAAATTATTGATTGAAAACAAATGATAATCATGAAATAATAAAACGTAAAAAAAAACAGTCCTCTTCTATTATAATTTATGTTGGAGTGATCCAGGAAATTTCTTGCAAAAGATAAGCAAGCATCAGAAAGCACTAAGATGCGTTTCATCCAATCAGCATTCACTTGAAGTTTTAGCCAAAAATATCAAAGAAGTGAAACGTCACATGTAGAGGTCCTGATTGATTGATTGCTACACTGCTACTGTGTTTAGTAGCATTCCAGAATCTTCTAGCAACCCAAGGACATTTAAAATATAAAAGCCTCGTATTTTCTATATTGAAATGAACCTTGGAGTAAAGTACTTCTCGCATACTTTGAGTCTTCTCTCTCCTGTTCGGGTCGCTGTATAGTTCTAGCTTGGGGGTTACTAGAAGAGCTTAGGAACCGAATATAGCGTTCAGTCTGCAAGACTTATCAATTTAAGAGCCGTTCTGATGTACATTAAAAGTATTACAGTCTATTGTGTTACGTAAATAAGTGTTATGGACAATTTGATGCTTCAGATAAATACTGATTAATATCTTATAAATGAATTCATAACAATATAACGCAACTTGTTGAAAAAATATGCAGATTCACTTAATTATATTTTTGAGCTAGTGATACTAACTTAGTGAGACCCAAATATACAATCTCATGGTAGCTAATCGATATAAGGCATTTGAAAAAGTGATATACAAAGCCAAATATATGGTTAAGTATGTTGTGCAATGAATGACAATAGATTATCTTGAAGGAGTCAACTTCTTCATTGTCAAAAGAAGCATTATATGTCATTTGTAGAGGAAGAGTACCCTAACCCATTCCATTGAAAAAGTCCTAGAACTCACGTTTTTAGACCCTTGCTAAATTACCACACAATATTCTTTAACCATAAAGTCAAGAAGAGAAGTATATTGTACACTTTCGTGATACTTCTCATTTTGCTCGAATAACAGGTTGTTAAGAGATCTTGGTTGGTGCTGACAAGCAAGGATATCATAATATACACCTATTGTCTTCAAGCTCCATAATTGAGAACAGGAATGAAATTCCGGTTACTAACTATTCTAGTGTTGAAGCATAATACTAGGATAGATTCATCGCTGAAAATTTGACTAAAGTTGTGAGCTAACATTAGTCTTACAGTAACGCACTGATCATGAGACTTAGAAGCTCTGGTTATGTTTCCTAGAGAGATTGTAAATAGAGGTTATCAAGTTAATTTTTACTGGAAACGAAGCATTTGTCCAGTAATCCTTTGTTTTCAATGATTATCTAGCTCTAAGTTAGTTCATGATGTAAACGAATAAAAGGCATTCTGAACTTGAACTACAGCAGTGATATGGCAAGTGGAATAAACTGTGCACATATAAATCTTTACGAACCTAGCTAACTGAATCGAAATCCTGTACTTTATAGAAAGTAACTTTGAAATGCATTTCCTGAAGTTCTATTTCTTCAATTGTCATGACCTAAAGAGATAATTACATTTAAAATCAGGCAGTTATCACTGATGGTATTGAACGGTGAATACCCACTAAATCGACATCTAACCAAAGTTGCAAATAGAGATAATGTACATCGTACCATCAATCGCAGACTTATTTTCGTTTTTTTCCTGTCAAACTGTGGGAAAGCCAAATACTCTACCCATTAGAACATCTCCTTTTTGCATTGCGAAAGCGGTTCATTCTGTCCCAGCTCAGTGCTTTAAAGATATTGTGCTTGCTGAGAAACACAAAGTTTGTAGCTCTAAACTCGTGGTTGAGGAGTCCCGAAAATATTTATTTATTTAAACATATAAATATAAGTACAAGGAGACATCAAATAGATATGCTTCGCACAAATCATCCGACTTGTGTGAGGGCTGGGCTACTGCTCGAGCGCTCAGAAATAAGCACGTGGTTTTATTTAGGGGGCCACTTCCCGAGGTCTAATCCATAAGGCAATAAAGCAATACCAGGAAATGCAGTCCCATGGTAGTCGGTGACCAATAACTGGTTCATACACCATTTGTTCCTTCGGGGTAATGGAGCTAGCCTACATGAACCATTGGTTTTGAATCAGGTTTTCTCAACTCTCTTAAGTAGATCCTCCCTGTCTATCAACCTGACTAATGCACCCGACATTCGTTTTTCATCTTCTCAATTTTGTAAACAACATCTTCACCACGAGAAGTCAGTGAGTAGAACTTCTCTGACAGTAGCCATGTGAGAGAATTTCGAGAGAGAGAGCTGATTCTCTCCACTCTTAGCTGATATGAATTTGTTACGTCAGTATCAATTCATCAAGTGATATAACTATTAAAAGTAATAAATCAGAACACACACACACACACACACAAAAACTTACATAATTCGGTGAGTTGAAAAGAAGTTGAGTTTTATACATTTTTGTTTTATTCAATTGTGAAGATAAAATAGATGACCATGGAATTAATTGTTTTGTATGAGTTTTAAATAAAACTAAAAAAGCATATTCATCATTATGATTATGATTATTGAATGAAATAAGTAGTACAGCCCAATAATTTTTAAATTTTTTATAAAATGTACGTGAAAATAAAGATTTTCTTAAATATTTACAATGACAATTAGTAGAAATTAATTGAGGGGATAAATGTTCATTTCTATAGTTTGTAGATTGTTCATCATCATGGATATTATTATTATTATTATTATTATTATTATTATTATTATTATTATTATTATTATTATTATTATTATTATTATTGGAAGACGAAGAAGAGGAAGACGATAACGAAGTAGACGTCATGGAAGATAAAGAAGTTTGTGAATAAGAATATGAAAGATTGGCAGTAATAGTAGGTGGTGAATGTATATTTAACTTATTTTGTTGTTTTATTGGTGATTGATTATTATTTACTTGTAATTCCAAAGTTGATGGATTCATATTATGAAGAGTTTGACAAAATGGAATCTTGGAAATATTGGAATGATCTGTAAATGAAGTTGACAATTGTGGTGCTGGTGGTGGTGGTGATGATGATGATGTATTACTACTACTGATTGATGATGAATTATGGAACTTGGCAATTTTAAATGATGTTAAAGACGTAGTACAACATAGTAAAGGACCCTAGAGATAAAATACGAAACAATAATCATAGCGTAACATTAGCATTATTTAATTATATCTAATCTGAAGCTATGAATTAACGCCAATAATAAATATATACCGATGAGTAGAAATTTGTGTTTCTGATGTTTCGTGACTTAGTATAACTCACTTCTTCAGACTACACAGATAAATATGAATTAAGGTTAGTTTTGAATTATGGAAACATATTCATTATAAAATAGATGGGTATGTTTGAGGTGATCCACAGGATATACACATATACCAACGAAAATTGATCAAATTTTAGTCAAAAATGTGAACGATGGGCCAATCCGAACTATTTTCTAATTGAACTAAAAAAACACACACACGTAGTTTTCATTATACATACTAATTGAAACAATTTGAAATAGTGAAAATCAAGTTGACAAGCGATTAGACAATCGTCCAAAAAAACTTTGATCTCGTTTCTTTAGGTATTCTATAATGGATTGTTACAAAACCACTGAGTGACTTCGAAATATGAACACGGAGGTGACTCTTCAGAAATTTCATCCAGTTGGTGTTATATCCCGATGAGAATAATGAATGGTAACTGTTGGAATGTATTTCTGGACTAATACTATGTGTATATTTTTATCGTATAGTTGTTAAACAATTAAACTATTCATATTCGTGTCCCTCTTATGATAAGCCTTATTTTGACCCATGAACTTGTTACGTCCTTGATCCGTCTACCCATTTTTGGTGCTGAGGATAACTCGTCTTATCTAGACTAAGACTTTGGCGCGATAGGCTGACCGGCTTAACCTTGAGGCTGGTACGCGTGAGTTTGAAATAGGGTAGAGAGAAGAAAACTATTCTATCACCTGATTGGCTGACAAGCGCGCGAGTGAGAGAAGACAAGTCAACTGGAACACTACTCGATTCCGATCTGGTTCCCGATTTCAGATCAGTGTAAAAAGATACATGAATAAGTAGATGATTAACCCGCCCCCGAATGCCCTGGTACGGCCGAGAGTGGGGAGAGTCCGCTCTCCCTCTCGAAATACTCTCACATGGCCACGCGTATACAGCCTCTGCCACGGAAGTCCTACTCATTGCCTTCCCGTGGCGAGGGTGTTGTTTACGAAAATAAGAGGACGAAAAGCGAATGTCTGGCGCTCTAACCGGATCCCAAACCAATGGTGCACATGGGCTCCAGTATCCTGCGGGAAAAAATGGCGTATGAACCAATCGTTGGTCACCGGCTACCATGAGACTGCATCTCCTTACGATGCTCCACTGCCTTGTGGGTTAGACCTTTAGGTCAAAGGCTCGGGGTGTGGCCTCCTAAGATAACCACCTGCTTCGGTTTGGGCACCCGGGCAGTATCACGGCCCACATGCAAATGATGAACTCTCTATATCTATGGAAACTACTTTTCTCGCTTCGAAAAACAATCAAATGATTCAAATTATTATCACTATTCTTCTTCTTCTTCTTCTTCTTCTTCTTATTATTATTATTATTATTATTATTATTATTATTATTATTATTATTATTATTCAAGACTCTGGCGAAGTACTACAAATTCGCTCTAGATCTGTCACTTCAAAAAGCTAGTTTTACATGCGCTTATCCGGGGACCCTGTGGCATCTTCGTCTGGTCTTGCTTGCGTTGGTGTCGCACTAAGCGCTAGAGCTGAGGCAGCACTAGTCGATTGGATCCCCATTAACAGTCGGTTATGTGCTGTTAGATTAGAAAGTTCCATGAAAGTGAGAAGAAATCGGCGTGAGAAACGATGTCTTTTCGTCATCTCCGCCTATGCCTCGACAGATTGCAGCCCGGATGCAATCAAGGATGAGTTTTACCACCAGTTATCTGTTCTTCTCCAGAAAGTAAGTTCGACAGATATTGTAGTACTAGCCGGAGACTTGAATGCTCAGGTCGGGCGTCTAGGCACAGAAGAGAGTCCTTTAGGTGGCCGATGGGGACTCGTTGGTCGCAGGTCAGATAACGGGGACCGTCTACTGCAACTGTGCACAGACCACAACCTGTTGCTGGCTAACACTAACTTTCGGCACAGTCATCGCCGATGTGCCACATGGCGTCCTCCCTCTGCATCTCAAGCCTAGACTCAGATTGATCAAATCACGATCAGCTACCGCTGGCGTGGTTGTGTACAAGACTGCCGCTCCTTTTGGAGTATCTATCTGAACTCTGACCATACCTTGGTCTGCGCAATCTTACCTTACTTTTCAGTGGACAACGAAGTGACCGCCACCAAAAGATTGATGTTAGCAAGCTGGTTTCAACTTCTGTTGCAAGTAAGTATCAAACCGAGCTAGTTTCTGGGCTAGCTACCGTTCCACCGAAAAGTATAGACGAGGATTGGTTTCAACTTCATGACGGCATGAAAATGGCGAGTAAAGCCGCTTGCGACTTCGCGAAACGTCCCGCTTATAAGCACTGGGTTTCTTCAGGCTCCCTACAACTCATCGAAGCCCGTCGGTCTACTCCGGGTGACCGTGAGTTTGACCACAAACGAAGGCTGTTACGTAATGAAATCGGGCAAAGCTTGCGTAAGGACCGAGAAGCCTGGTGATCGGGGCGTGCTAATGAGTTGGAAGCAGCAGCTGCATCTGGTAACTACCGGAAGCTCTTCCAACTCATCCGAGCCACTGGCAGGAAGAAGTCTGGTGTGAGCGAAACAATCTGCGAGGATGATGGGATGCCAATCACTAACATCCATCGACGTCTTGGACGATGGGCAGAATTTTTCGAAGGGCAGTTCAACTGGCCTGCTGCTCCGGCAACATCGGTCAGACTGTCCTGCCCTCCATGGCCGGTGACGACTGATCCACCAAACGAGGAGGAAGTCCGCAAGGAACTCCAACTCTTGAAGCGTTACAAATCACCTGGCCCAGATGACTTACCTCCGGCTCTTTTTAAAGATAGTGGTAACTTTTTGACTAAGGAATTGACGACGTTGTTTACAAAGGTTTGGGAACTAGAGAGTGTACCAACGTCATGGAATGAGTCGATAGTTGTCCCTATCTTTAAAAACGATTCACGTCGTTCCTGTAACAACTATCGGGGGATAAGTCTACTTCCGATTGCGTCCAAGCTATTGGCTCCCGTCATACTTCGTAGATTGTTCAAAACCCGAGAAAGATTGACTCGCGAGGAGCAGGCTGGGTTTCGTTCTGGTCGAGGATGTATTGATCATATCTTCACCCTCCTCCAAATGTTAGAACACCGCCATACTTACCAAAGGCCAACAATCGTAGTATTTCTTGACATCAGGGTTGCCTTCGATTCGTTGGACAGGACTGTTCTCTAGGATTGTCTATTGAAGAAGAGTGTGTCTGTGAAGTTTATTAACATCCTAAAAGCCCTATATACAAACACCTCAGGCAGAGTGAGGGCATACAACCACCTCTCTTCATTGTTCCATTCGAGCAGTGGGGTTAGGCAGGGTTGCCCAATCTCACCATTCCTCTTCAACTTTGCCATCGATGACATTCTGGAAACAGCTCTGATGAATGTAAGTAATGGTGGTGTGGATCTGTTGCCTGGAGAAAAACTTCTCGACCTTGGGTATGCGGACGATATTGTCTTACTGTGCGATAATGCCCAAGGCATGCAATCCGCACTTAATCAGTTGGCAATCAGTGTCCGTAAGTATGGGTATGTGCTTTGCACCTTCCAAGTGCTAAGTACTTCTACAAGACTGGCAGGACCGTAATCCTGTACTCACCCTGGATGGTGAGCAGATAGAAGTAGTCGAGATGTTCGTGTATCTGGGTAGCTGCATAAGTGTTGGTGGGGGTGTGAGTGATGAGATCAATCCACGTATAGTGAAAGCCAGAGTGGCTTATGCCAATCTGGGGCACCTTTGGCGCCTTCGTGATGTTAGTCTGCCTGTAAAAGGTCGGATCTACAACGCGTCGGTGAGAGCAGTTTTGCTCTATGCTTGTGAAACCTGGCCTCTCCGAGTTGAGGACGTTAGCCGACTCTCTGTGTTTGATCATCGCTGTCTCCGAAGGATTGCTGACATTCAGTGGCAACACCATGTCAGTAATGCAGAGGTTCGGCATCGTGTGTTCGGGCGCAGAGACGATAATGCGATCGGTGTCACCATCTTGAAACACCGACTTCGGTGACTTGGCCATGTCCTCCGAATGTCGTCCCAGAGAATTCCAAGTCGTGCATTATTTGCCGACTCTGGGACTGGTTGGAAGAAGCGGAGAGGTGGTCAGTGTATGACATGGTGTCGTGGCATGAAAGAAAGCTGCAAAGGACTGGCTTCTGTTGGTCCTTCACGACTCCCTGGTTGGGGTCTGAGAGATGGTGCTACACAGTGGCTAGAGACGTTATCAGATATGGCTCAGAATAGAAGCCAGTGGCGATCCTGTTGTAATCTTTTACTTTCTTCATAAAAAGTGGTTGTGTCTCCCTTACCTGAAAGATTTTTTCCGATTGCACCTTTGCGTTCCCTCATTACTACCACACTACCTTACACCAATCTCTTCGTTATTGTTCTCTTTTTTTTCTATTTCTCTTCGAATTCTCATTGTTTTGTGTGGCGCATATATATTGGCGCTCTCTTGTACCAATATTTATGTGTTCAAATAAATAAAATAAATAAATAAGAAAATATACAATTATGTCCAAGACTGGAAATTAGCGAGAAAATAGAGTACAAAATAGTATGTTTAAATTACAATAGCTTCGGAACAGAAAAGGGCTATGACAGCGAATCATACATCAAACGAAAGCTTATGATTTGTTGAATAGATGAGGGACAAAAATAAATGTTATTGTTTTACAAACTTTGAATGAATCGAAATAACGTCCCAAAAAAATAGCTTTCGCAGTTTGTCAAGGCTTCTTGTTTCTCTGTTCACATCAAAACTATTATTGGTGAGACTATAATTTACGGACAAACCAATCAGATTTACGATAACAGATCTCAGATTTTGGCGCAAAATTCATTCACCCATTTGGCTAAATAGAGTCTTGGTGTTAGCGGGACATAGACTGGATTAAAGCATGCTCAATGCACGATTGCGTTGGTGCACGCTGATTGGCTAATTCCTGTTCAATCAGCACTATTCGATGCTTGGAGAACACTCTAGAATCTTCTCGTGTAAAAACTAACGTTTTTCCTATTGTGCTTCTTACTTCCATCTAACCTTGTTTTTTGGAATATAATCTCTTTCCTGTTCAACCGTGTTCTGATTTGGGGACTTGTCGAGTGAAGCGGTGTCCGAGAATACTAAGCAATAAGAATAACTGGGTCATAACCGTAAGAAAGAGATTATAACACTTGGCCTTATAGCTGATGTTAATTCGTGATGAAAACCCTAAATCTAATTTCGTAACCCTAACCATCAACTGTAAATCATAATCCTTATTCTTCAGATGGCTTTATGACCCTCATTTGGCCCTAGTAAGTGGGTAAACACTCTCAAGGTCACTTTGGCGTCGCTCATAGGTCGTCCATAGATTATAGTCTCACCCTGTTATTATACGATTTACCATTCTGGAGTTATGCCCAGTCTATCAATTACTGTCCCCCACATTCACAGTCACTTTTCACTGGATCATGTACAAATGTTATTTTCTATTTTACGGTACGATATGGTCTGTTTGGTTTGTATGTAAACGGAGTATGTTTGAAATATATGATTCATATCGCAGAGGCTGAGATTGATGTTCTGGACTTAATAAGCAGAGCTAGGCGGGAAGCAGGACCGATAAGGACTGTAGACTGTTCGTACGGGTTTTATGCGTCATTGGTCCAGTCGATAAATCACTGTTCTCCAATTGAAGGTATCATTATGTCATAAATTATTAGGACACAAGGCCACAAGATATAACAGTTGGTTCTCTTTATTAACTTGAATGAAGCCAAAATAACAATTGAGGCAGAATAACATAATCTCATATTTCATGATTTCTCATCAGCTACTTACAAATATATATGTACTGAAATGTTATGTATATACCGATGACATTGTGGTCGATTCTGAGCCATGTCACCAAGTCTCCAACCATTGGTTACGATAGTCACGCGGACCCCAACCAAGTAGTCTACATCTACCAACATGGATTAGATTAGAAGTTAGTGACTTTTTGGACTGATGCCATGTTTTGGTTCGGCCGACCCTAACTTTCTTCCAACCATCCCCAAAACTAGTCAGCATTGCGCGTCGTCGTAATCGGTGTTCAGGTATACGTAACACGTGGCCTAACAATCTCAGCCGATGAAGATTCACAACCTCATCGACTGATTTACCATCATTCCTGCGTCTAACCTCACTACTACTTATCCAGTGATGCCAGCAGATGAGAGCAATATTTCTGAGGCATTTGTGGTCAAATACTAGTAGCTTACGAGTATCAAACAGCAGAACACTAACCTCAACTTTCTCGAAAGAGATGCACAAAAAAATTAAGCAAAATATTAAATATTCAAAAAAGAAGCTTACTTCTCGAATTACTTCTAAATTATTTGCTAATTTTATATTTAAATAAGTTGAGTTTACTGGAGAGGATTGTGAATGAGAAAAATTCGATGTTGACATTAAAACCGGGGAATAATGATGACGATGAACAAAAGTAACATTCTCATCATGTGTAATATGTTTATAATCATTATTATTATTATTATTATTAGAAATTGTTACTTGGGCAGCTGCAAGAGCAGCTAAGGCTAAATGAGATAGATTTGTAGAAGAATAATGTTGAGATTGTTGTTGATATGATGATAACTTAGGTAAATGTAACGATGATGATCTTATTTTTGATGTAGGCAATACAAATGGAAATGTTTGTGAAAGACGATAATGAATTGGATCAATATGATTTGTTAATGATGTAGTACAAATATTAAATGAATGATCTTTTTGAGGTGATATAAACAATGATTGATAGAGTATTGAAGGTGAACTACTAAGTGGAAAATTATGAAGTAATCGTTTAGCAACAGAGATTTTCTTCCCATCTAAAAAAGTGAAAAAAATGAAGAAGAATCTCAGTATAAATCGAAATGAAAGTGTTATGTATATTAAACATAATTCATATAGGTGCAAGTGAGATAATCAATGCATATGAATATGATAATTTAAGCTCATCATTGATAAACACACAAAACTCATAGTGCATTGAAATGTAGATTAAGCAATGATTACATGAATACGGTGATAGTTTGTTGAACATAAGTAGACAAACAAGCTTGTTATTTTACTTAACAAAGAATCATTATAGTGCATGGTTTGGTGCGACACACACACACAGTACACGTGTATCAACATAAAAGATTAAAAGTAACTCTTGGATTCAGTGATAATGACTGTGAATAATGATAATATTAGTAGCAATAAAATGTATTCAACAATGTGAAAAGCAGGAATGTGACACAATAGAATTATGAATATATCTCCTATGTAGTCTTCTTCGACTTCGATGCCTGTTACGCCCAATGGAGCATAGGTCGTCGACTAGCATTCTCCATTCCACTCTGTCCTCGGACTTCCTTTCTAGTTCTATCCAATTTTTGTTCATTCTTCTCATGTTTGTCTATCCCCATTTCTCGGCGTAATGTGTTCTTTGATCTTGAAAATCTCAAGGTGAGGGCTTGCTTTGTGACGCAGTTGGGTGCTACCCTTAATTTGTGTCCTATCCACTTCCAGATTTCTTCCTCCAATGGGATCTGGTTTGTTCTCTCCCACAGTAGGTTGTTGCTGATAGTGTCTGACAAACAGATCCGAAGTATTTTGCGTAGAAAAACTGTTAATAAACAGTTGTGTCTTCTGGATGTTAGCTTTCGTAGTTCTCCAGGTTTCCGCCCCACACAGTAGAACTATCTTGACATTTTTATTGAAAATTCTGACCTTCGTGTTGGTGGAAAATTGTTTTGAGTTCCAGATGTTCTTCAGTTGTAAATATACTGCTCTTGCTTTGCCAATCCGCGCCTTCACATCTGCATCAGATCCTCCGTGTTCATCAATGATGCTCCCCAGATATGTAAAGGTTTTTACATCTTTTAAATTTTCTCCGTCAAGTATGATTCGATTGATGCATATTGTGTTGTATTGGAGAATGTTGCTTTTCTCTTTATGATCTTCTATGTAGTAGTATGTGTTATTTATTTTTTAGCAATTTTAGCTAACTTCCTGAACAGTTGTTCTGTTCTTGAATAAAACTTGTTATTAATAAGCAACTACATAAAATGGAACTGAAGACAATATCGTTGTGATAAACATAATACTATTGAATCATTGAGTTGAAATCATACAGTAGGAATAAAGGATGTAAACAAATCAAGAGTATTCAACCATAACAAAACGCCTTTTCAATATTGAACCATCTAGACATCATATGAGAATTTTGACAAGACCTGTTAAAATCTTATACTAATCGAGAAATTTTCCTTTTATAACACATAGGTGAACAATCAATAAGATATGTGAATACAGGTGCATAAACGCCTATACAAACATAAATATGGAAACAAAAGTAGCTGTGATGAACAAATGAAATGAGTCTTGCATAACAACAATAGTGGTAGCTAATATCCCCACCCACCCACACACTCACACGGTGTAAATGTATCATTGAATTCTTTTACTTACTATGTACATTTAATTATATTAGGCCATATAAATGCTTCGGTATGTACAGAGTCTAAAAAAAACAACACCTTAAATACATAGACAAAAAGAAAATTCGGGGGGGGGGAAGGCATAAACATAGGATTTAATCTAATTCTTTCACATTCTCTCTACCTATCTCTTTCCTAATTCAGTTGTATATGTCAACATAGTTGAAAAATGAATAGAAAGTAAAACAATAACTCAATTTAATCTAAAGTCTTGTAGTTAATTTACGTTCAGTAGATGCATTACAATAGGATAGATTTTTCTTTCTTTGATAATGTCCGCTATTGAAATCTTTAAATGATGTATTAGTAACAAGCATTGTAGAAGATTTATGCTTACTACTAGTACTATTATTATTATTATCATTGTCAGTAGTAGTAGTAGTAGTAGTAGTAGTAGTAGTAGTAGTAGTAGTAGTAGTAGTAGTAGTAGTAGTAGTAGTGATATTTGTACACTTTTTCGGTTCATAATTTGATATTCCTGTATCTGATATTTTAGTAGTATAGTTGTGTTGATGTTGTTTTATTCTACGACATGGTGTAACAGGAGCAGTTTTTGCATTGAATATATCATGAAAGAATATAGATGATTGATTTTGTGAATCATTTGATTTTGATTCCATAATACATTGTAATTCAATAACAGAATTATGCGATGATGAAGGTGATGATAATGATGATGAATTGCCAGAAATCATTTGCTCTTTTTTTATTGATTGTTTATTATTATTATTATCTGGATTGTTTAAACAATCAGTGAATACAAGAAGGTGAGGTGAAGACGTCGAAGAATTAGACGATGAATGATCAAACATTAAATTGATATCACCATTGCGTTGTTTAGAAGTTTTGATATTGGTATTAATATTATTATCATTATTATTAGTATTCATATATTTTTTGAGTATTGTAGGTGAACATTTGTTGATGAAACCATGGTTCTGATTGGATAAGGAATTTTTCGGAGATTCACTACAGGATAGGGTTGTGACAAGTAATAAATATAAACAAGCGAAAAAAACACAATAAGTACAAAGGTAACCGTACAATAAATAAATAAGTTAGACAAATAAACGTATAAATCCGCCCGGAGCCCCTCTGGGGCTACTGTCGTTCCCAAGCCCGGGATAAAGGAGGAGGGTTGGGCATGGGGTTAGCGACCACGTCCCGTAGAAAACTAACTCGCTAAAAAAATGCTAACCACTAACTAAGCTCTTCAAATGGATTATATATATGGTTAAGAGATAGACTCGTAAATGTAGTGTAGGGGTGGGGTTATGGAGGTTTTAAGTGGTTGAAGATAGTTCAGAATAAGACGTGGATCTAGGTTTTGTGATAGTTGGAACTGGTCTGGAAGGCATACCTACTGTCTTAAAAGAACTGATGCTCCTATGGAATTCAAACATGCATCACCCAGCTTTACAGTCTGAGATGTTAACACTGAGCTATTCGTGGTGACGTGTGATATTAAAATATTGCAGTAAAATTATAAATATATATCAGTAAGAGACTATTGAAGAAATGAAAAATTATGGCTCATAGAAAGAATAGCAGGGTTGAAAGGAAGATACGTGAAATTCTGATTATCAAGCGTGACGAAAACAAGATTTCTATCTTCCAACGAAGGGGAGAGTATAATGACCAGCACTCCACTTTTTATTACCCTACAGGTATTGAAACGTGACCTCATAAAAACAGTAGACATGCGTAAACTGCTGGTTCTCGATCATATTTGTTTTCGAGGCATCGCTGGGACATATGTTGGGACAACTAAGTGAGCAATATTGAAGTTAGACGAAGCGTAATAGTCAACACTGATTGTGAATTTTCATCAAATGAAGTGATGCAGGCATACGTTAAGTGTGCTTGTAGCAAGCCCATTCAACTATTGTATCATTTGTCTACTCACTGTAATTCAGACACTTCACTATGTTAATTTCTGTGTGTGTATGATTGAGCGCGTGTTTGCACACAACCTTAATTGGCGGCCTGCTTGAGCATCTGGGCTACCTGTTCCTGCCATCTAAACATTTCAACAAGTTATCTATTTTTGTTTGTTTTAATATATCATTATGTCTATTAATCGCATAAGCTATCCTGATGCATTTCTGAAAAGTGTACAACCTTTCGTTATCAGAGTTACAAAAAGCTCAGTAAGAGACAATGTGGTTGCTGGCAATATACAACGAAAAGAATGCACATTATTCAGATGTTCATTTACTGGACTGCTAACATCTAACTGGCGATCACTCAATATCTATCGCCAGGATCGACCAAGAAGAAAGAAACAGAAGCTTGTTGAAACACTTTGCGCTGAGAATTCTATATTGTACCAAAAATATGATATTGAATAAAGCTGACGATAATAATTCTCCTATTCGTTGTAACATACAGATAATCAATAATTTATCCACACTTGATTGACACTCAAAAATATATATGGATTTTTACACACACACACACACACTCGTGGTTTCACAGTGTGCTTGCTCGCTGTACGGTTGTGGATTTTATTTATCTTGAACAATAAAAATATATCTACAACTGGTGTTCAAGCTTCTGAATAACCTCGAGTAAATCCATAATTCTACTAGGAGATTTAGCCTACCTAAAATACTCAGTTAACGAGATATCATTTATTGGAGTCATTTATAGAGGAAATTAGCCTCAACATGCTCAACTGTCATATATCACGACAGGCAATGTTGGTTGGAATAGGAGCAGATTGGAAGGTGGTTAGGAGTGCCAGAATAAAAAGTGGCACTAGACCATGAGAACACTGAGTGTTGGACCGAGCTATGCTAGTAGATATGGTGTACCTAGTTAAGATCCATGCAACCAGTAGTTGGGGATACTGAGGGACATGACTGAAAATTGATTACAATGCTTCAGACATATGGGCTCTTTATCTTCCGTTAGGACTTAATTTATTTCCGTTCAGTATATATATAATTTATTTGAACACGGATATTGGTACAAAGGAGCACCAGATACATATTTGCCATACAAATCTCATTCGATTTGTGTGAGGGCTGTGATATTGCTCGGGTGTCCAAACCGAAGTAGGTGGTTTTCTTAGGGGGCCACACCCGGAGCCTTCCACCTAAAGGTTTAATCCACAATGCAGTGGAATAACGTCAAGAGATTTAGTCCCATGGTAGTCGGTGACCAACGATTGGTTCATACACCATTTGTTCCTTTAGGATCCTGCAGCCAACCCATGTGCACCAATGGTTTGGAATCAGGGTTTCCCAACTCCCTTGAATGGATCCTGCGTATCCACCAGCACGGTTAAATCACCGGACATTCGATTTTCGTCCTCTCAATCTCGTAAACAACACCCCTGCCACGAGGGGGCAGTGAATAGGACTTCCCTGGCAGGCGAATTATATATATATATATATATATATATATATATATATTAGCGACTTACACATTATTAAAAGATAATTTCATATTCCTATTAAAACGTGGTGACCGAGGTAAAAGTTGACTACTGCTACCAGTATTAGTAGTAGTAGTTGAAGTAGATAAATTTTGTTTATTTTCAGTCTATAAAGAAGATTAAATAAAAAAGAAATCATCACATAATTCCATAGTGGAAATTAATTGACTTTAACTAAGGAAACATATAAAAATTAAATAGAAGTTAGCAATGGATCTATGAGATCAACACAAAACCGAAAATCAAGTAATGATAATGTGAAATAACTATTTTGCCGCCTATCTGTTATATGTATTATTTTCTTCGATCATTTTAGCATAGGGGATGAAAAAGATTACAGAAACCTTCTATAAGGTGATTGGGACAAGTTTTATATATAACTAACTACCTTCTACTTCAATGCATGATGTATCGGCCTGCTTGAATATCTGGGCTACCTGTTCCTGTCATCTACATATATTAACAAGTTATCTAATTTTGTTTGTTTTATTACATCATTATGGTTATTAATTGCATAACCTATTCAAGTGCGTTTCTGAAAACTGTACAACCTTTCTTTGTACAAGTTACAAAAGGCCCAATCAGAGATATCGTGGTTGCTGGCAATATGCAACAAAAAGAATGTACATTATTTAGATGTCGACTGATTGAACTACTAACTTCTAACTGGCGACCACTCAACATTTATCGTCAGGATCGACCAAGAAGTAAGAAATGGAAACTTGTTGAAATACCGAAAATATAATATTGAGTAAAGCTGATAATAGTAATAATAATAATAATAATAATAATAATAATAATAATAATAATAATAATAATAATAATAATAATAATAATAATAATAATAATAATAATAATAATAATAATAATAATAATAATAATAATAATAATAATAATAATAATAATAATAATAATAATAATAATAATAATAATAATAATAATAATAATAATAATAATAATAATAATAATAATAATAATAATATAATAATAATAATAATAATAATAATAATAATAATAATAATAATAATAATAATAATAATAATAATAATAATAATAATAATAATAATAATAATAATAATAATAATAATAATAATAATAATAATAATAATAATAATAATATAATAATAATAATAATAATAATAATAATAATAATAATAATAATAATAATAATAATAATAATAATAATAATAATAATAATAATAATAATAATAATAATAATAATAATAATAATAATAATAATAATAATAATAATAATAATAATAATAATAATAATAATAATAATAATAATAATAATAATAATAATAATAATAATAATAATAATAATAATAATAATAATAATAATAATAATAATAATAATAATAATAATAATAATAATAATAATAATAATAATAATAATAATAATAATAATAATAATAATAATAATAATAATAATAATAATAATAATAATAATAATAATAATAATAATAATAATAATAATAATAATAATAATAATAATAATAATAATAATAATAATAATAATAATAATAATAATAATAATAATAATAATAATAATAATAATAATAATAATAATAATAATAATAATAATAATAATAATAATAATAATAATCCTAGTGTAGGTGTAGTAGTAGTAGGCAAAAAACTAGATTGCCCAAATCACGACACACAATCAGTTCATGAAGTTGTTGAGTGGCGGTCTCAGCCATGTTAATAAGTGAGGGCTAATTGGTTGGGGTCCGCGCGATTATTGTAACCAATGGTTGGAAATGATGGCTGATATATATCAGAGCTGATCACATTGCCACAAATGTATTTAATCTTGAGTTTTATTTAATATTCACTTGGTATTGTTTCGCTTGTATCTTCCCATTGAGGTTTAAGACTGCAATTGATCAGTCTATCAGAACTCAGTACCAAGTGAATTTAAATTTACTACATTGCACAAGTAAGTGGATGTCAGGACTCAGTAGCTGAGTGGATAACGCGATGACGTTTGAAGCGAATGGTACTCGGTTCGAGTCCCAAATTGGAAGAAACGCATGTCTTGGATTCCACTACTAGCCACTATCCATCTTTGTTTATAAAAACGTTTTATTTATGTTTAGCGTTTATCACTATCACTCACACTGTTACTATCCCTACTACTCTAGTATTTATCTTGTAAATCTTATTTCAATATGCTAATGTTGTGTAAAAGTATTGTTTGTTAAAGATAATCTATAAGTCAGTCAATAACAACGTAGAACTTCGTACGTACGTACATAAATTTTAGTTGCCATACCCTTTATTATCCTTCAAACATATATATATATATATATATATATATATATATATATATATATATACTCAGATAATAATAATAATAATTACTATTATGCAACATAGATGGAATTCCCAGTCATTGGAATTTATATGGATAGATAAACACAAAACGATTGAACAAAATATGGGGACTTCTAAGTAGTCCTCGGTTACTGAAAAAGTTATTCCAACACCGGTCAACTATTGGTTCTAACCATAACCGCGACTTTAATATAATGGTTAGGCTTACAGATTCATAATGCCAACATTGAACAATACTGGGATAATTCTCAGGTTTCTATTGTTAGGAGTAAAGCTTTATGAAACTGAGACATTAAAAGCTACTCACAAAACAACTGTTCTATGAGCACTGAGATCCCGATCTCAGATCAATTTCTTATTTAAATACTTCAAGAAGTATTATTCTAAGATATGAACAATCAGGAAGTGAAGATCATTCAAATAATTCTAATAGAAGTCGAGATCAACTTATTAACAAGTTACAAATGAGTATAGTTCTAAACTAAATTACATATATGTAGCCTTCAGATTGCTTTATTCACTCTGAATAATCATTTAGCATAGGTTGTAAGGAGTTGATGAACAAATAGAAATAAAAGAGGTATATCGTTATTTAATCATAAACAAGAAAAAAAAACTTACTTTATCAATAGTCGGTGTTGTACCATTATCACAGAATAATAGTCCGAATCCTTTATGAAAATAAACAAATGAATATATGCATATATATAGCCAATTTGATGACTTTCATACATAATAAGCTCAACTATATACAGTAATACATAAGTAAATGGAGAGCTTAGGGAAACAGTTTTTTTTTCTCTCTTTAAAAACAGTGAAGTAATGATTGCTGGCTTCTTCAAACAGGGCTTCATATTACAGGAAGAAGATCTTTAGTGAATAAATGCTGTTTTTAAAACTATACAACTCATTTCATCAATAAATACTTTAAAATCTTGTATTGTAGATGTATACTATGTCTTTGATACCCATAAACATACATGCTACAAACATCAGTATTCATAGAATCTCAAGTGAACAGTATGTAAAATAATCACGCTTAACTGTCTGTCTATTTGAAGATTCAAAAATGACTGACCTAGACATTGGCAGTGTAATAAGTATGGAATTAAGTTCGACTGAAGAACAAAATCTTCAGGATTGAATTTCAGTAGATAGATGTTGAAAGATATTCATCTGAATGAGATTGTAAGAAATAGAAAGCATAAAGATACTCCCCAAAGGTGCCTATTTGAAGTTTCTGACTATGTTTTAGTTTTCAAATGAAATAAAAAATTTATTCTATTGAAAATCCCTTAGTTTCTTCTAAAAGCAATGCCTACAGAGTGTTATAATATATTAAGCAATTGTACAATGATGTAGGGCTCTGACACCACTTTTAACCAGTCGACATCTTCAAATCCAGTGTAAACCAACTGAGATTTGAATAAACACACGAGATGACTAGTAATCACATTATATAAGTTTAACCTAAACCCTAACACATGAACCAAGTAACAATGATCCCATACATTTAAAATGATATTAACTCCGTCTGGAGCCCCTCTGAGGCCACTGACGGTCCCAAGACCGGATAAAGGAGGAGGGTTGGGCATGGGGTTAGAGACCCCATCCCGTAGAAGACCAACACGATAACCCGAAAAAAACAATTCAAACCACTTAAACTGTGCTCTGGGAGTAAGGAAGTCTTCATTTAGAAGAGTTATCACGCCTCATGGTGAAACCCAAGTTCCTTCGGAAGTCACGAGACTGACGCCGCTGCTGACAACCAGGGCAACCATTAATTTAGGTACACGGAATGCTCGTACAATGTGGGACACCGGGAGAGTCTACCAAATTGCTGCAGAAATGAAGAGATACAACCTGGAGGTGCTTGGAATTAAAGAAACACATTGGACGCAGGTTGGACAACAACGACTAACTTCAAGGGAGCTTCTGTTATACTCCGGTCATGAAGAAGAAAGTGCTTCATATACACAAGGAGTTGCATTGATGCTGTCCAAACAAGCACAAAATACACTTATAGGATGGGAATCACATGGACCAAGGATCATCAAAGCCTCCTTCAAAACAAAGAAAGAGGACATTTCAGTTCACCAATAACCGTTAAGCTCTAAAAGAGTCATTTCCGTTCCACCTAGTAAGGCAAAAAGCATTTTTTTTTTTTAAAAACTGTTTTAATTAGTCAAATAAAGAAGAAGTATATTCTTTGATGATCAACTTTTAATGAATTTTTTACATTGAATTTGGAAGAATAAATGCTTATAGGCATTCTACAATCTAATCACAATTCATTGAACTAACTGTTCTATGAAAAAGTGGGTCGATCAATGTGATTGGTCACTGAGTTTTAGAAGAAACATCAGGTATTCAGCTTAATTATTATTAAATATGTGGCTTCCTTACCTCTTAATGACTTCTACTCTGGACTCATTGAGAGTGACTGTATGTAACTTTGTGGAATATGGTATTGTTTGGATTTACTCTGGTTCTATAGTTTTGATCGTGAACCGGGTATGTGATATAACGTGTTTCGGTTTGTATATAGCGGATAATTTGTGTAATCAACCTAACGGTGTTATAAACTCTGTCACCCAGACCAATTTCATTATTGTATAGAAATTTTAGAGTAGTATACCGAAGAAGGAAGAATACTTAAATTTATATGTCATATCAAGAAACTGGTACGGCTAAGAGTGAGGAGGGTCAACTCTTCATCTCCAAATGCTATCACATGGCCACATGCATACAACCATTGTCAGGGAAGTCCTACTCACTGCCTTCTCGCGGCATTACTGTTGTTTACGAAATCGACAACACGAGAAGCGAATGCCCGGTTCTTTAAACGGGTTGGTGGAAATGGAAGATCCACCTAGGGGAGTTAGAAAACAGTGATTTTAAACCAATGATGCACATGGGCTGGCTCCAGGATCTCAAACGAACAAATGGAGTATGGACTTGTTGTTGATCACCGGATACCATGGGACTGTATCTCCTGACGTTGTTCTACTGCGTTGTGGATCAGACCTTTAGGTCGAAGGCTCAGGGTGTGACTCCCTAAGTAAACCACCTGCTTCTGTTTGGGCACCCGGACAGTATCCTAGCTCTTACACAAATCGAATGATTTATGTGGCGCATATCTATTTGATGCCATCTTGTACTAATGTCTATATATGTTTAAATAAATAAATAATCGTGTCACACAGAATTTTATTCATGATTCATAAGTAATTTGATGGAGTAAAGAATTTAAACCAATCAACGCTTACCTCCCCAGCTGCCTAGTTTTCGATGAGTTGGTCGTTTTCGAGGCCGTTGAATTGAATTCACCACAGAATGGTTTGATGTTAAACAATGAATACTTGATGGCATTGAAATATCTTCTTGAGAATATGTTTGTTTAACACGAGGTGGTGGAGGTATAATTGGTGGTTCAAGTAAATCATATAATATTGAATTGGATTTGATTTGTTTTTCAAGTTGATTCACTGTTGAATTAGATGGGTTACCTTTGTTAGTATGCCTTGTTCCTGTTGTTTTGTTATTTATAGTTTTACAGGATAATGATAATGTGGTAGTTTTAATGGAAGACAATGTAGTAGTAGTAGTAGTAGTTGTTGTTGTTATTGTATCACAATTGGAAGTAATGTTTGTTGTACAATTATAAATTGGCACAGGTTTTAATATATTATCATTATTACTTAGAAATGAATAATTCGGTGGGACAGTATTTTGACGTGATACATCTGGTGGAGATGATGTAGGTGGAGGTTCTAATTGAATAGATAATTTATAATTTGCATCTTCAATAAATCGTTGAAGTTCTTCTATGTAACGTTGTGCTTCCAAATAACTAGCTATGGATTCATTTCGAACAAAAGCTGATGAAATTGAAATATAATATAAAAAAGAAAGGAAGACAGTATTTTTAAAAATGATAATTTAATGTGAAACTGACATAAAATTAACCAGTACCTTCTTGAACGGGTTTTAAAAATTTCATCTAAGCAGTTCTCCTCATATGGACCGTAATTTGCCAACACTGGGACTGAGTAAAAGAAGCAGATAGGTAGTCTTTTTATGAGATGACATCTTGGTATAAAAAATAACTATGTAGGACTAAGATCATAACTCCCCTAGTCGAGGTTTTAGAGAGCACACAACTCAGTGTCTTAACTGGTTGATAAACATGGGTCAGAACAGAAGTTAATGATGATCATGTTGCAGCTTTTTATCATATTTCTCGTAAGACTAAGGATGAATTCTTTAACATTTTCAATCGAAATGTCTCTTTTAATACGTATGCCCAACAACTGCCTACCTCGACGGGAGATGTCTGGTGTAGGAGTAGGTTGGAAGAAGGTTAGTGGCAGCCAAACTAAAACATGGCATCAATCCATGAAGTTACTGACAATTGGACTGACCCATGATAATAGCTATAAACAATCTGGGTAGCGTCCTCGTGATTATTGTAAACAATAGTTAGGAACGTTAAGTGGAACGTCTCAAAATTGGTGTATTCATTCTAGATCTTCCCTTAAATCTTAAACTTCCGAATTCCTCATTATTTTTCGTATTTATTACACCAATATATATTTTCTTGAATTGAACCTTCGATGTCTATTCTTTTCTATTACCACTAATACAAAAACTAACTTCACTATCCTGAGATTTGTCCTCACAATTTCATTTCTCTGTTCTAATAGGGTATGGAGACTTGACCCGATGTATAAACGTATCAGATTCTACGTTGCAACTGGATGATTACTGGTTATTTATTCATTTTTTGACCTTTTCCTTACACTTACTTACTTACGCCTGTTACTCCTCATAAAGGAGCATAGGCCTCTCACTAGCATTCTCCATCCAACCCTGTCCTAGACAATCCTTTCCAATTGTTATTCATCCTTTTCATATCGGCTTCACACCCTGAGCCTTTGACCTAATGGTCTGATCCACAAGGCAGTGGAGCTACGTCAGGAGATGCAGTCCCATGGAATCCGTGTCCACCAACCCGTTTAAAGCGACGGACATTCGCTATTCGTCCTAACAATTTCGTAAACAACATCCTCTGGTGTGAGAAGGCAGTGAATAGGACTTCCTTGGAAGTGGTTGTATGCACGTGGCCATACAAGAGCATTTCGAAAGGAAGAGCTGACTCTTCCCACTCTCGATGGTACCAGGGCGTTTGATCGTAAGAACATAATAAAAATCGTTCTTGCTTTATTTCCAAAACCGAATAGTTTAAGGAATAACGATACCAATACTACTACTATTACTACTCGTATTAAAACTATATAAATTCAAATATATTTCATCACTTACGATATTTGGATTGTTGAAAATTTGCAATAATCCGTAAGATATTATTAATTCGATCTTGTTTACCTTGATTAGTCCATGTACTATTTTCACGACGACTATACGATGATGATGCAGCCACATCAATAAAAGTTATATCAGAAAGATAAACACCTTTAAACATGAAGAACAAAAAAAATAGTTAGGCAGTACAATTTAACCCACTAAGCATAAGGTTTAAACTCAACTCTAACTCAACTGTTTCAGTATACACACAGACGGGTAGTAACATTAGTCGACATACTTAAAATTTAGTTGATACTTAAGTATTTAATGAATGAGTTAACCTAAACTAATGATAAGTTATTATCAGAAGATAGAACGCCAATCAATAGAAAAGTTTAAACAAATATTTATCCGAATTATCTTTTGATAAACAGAAACGAGATTCCAGTTATGTATGCATCATACCGGTAGAGAAAAAAGTTTTTAACTGCAGAACAATTTCTAATCAACCGTTGTTAGACAGATGTTCCCCGTATCCACTCTCCATCATCGCAAAATAATATAATCACATGTGAAATAACATTCAATTTAAGTGAAAAATTATTAAGTGATGATTAGTTTCTTATAATTATATTATTTTATTTAAAAACGTAAACATTGTTACAAGGAGGCATCCAATAGATATGCACCACACAAACCATTCGATTTGTGTGAGGGCTGAGATGCTACCCGGGTGTTCAAGCAAAAGCAAGTGGTGTCCTTAGGGGAACACACTCGGAGCCTTCAATCTAAAGGTATGATCCACAAGGCAGTGTCAAGAGATGCAGTTCCGTGATAGTCGGTGACCAACGGTTGGTTCATATGCCATTTGTTCCTTCAGGATACTGAAGTCAACCCATGTGCACTATTGGTTTGGAATCAAGGTATTCCAACTCCCCTAGGTGGATTCTCCGTGTCCACCAACTCGTTTAAAGCAACGGAAATTCGCTTTCGGTCCTTTCAATTTCGTAAACAAAATCCTCTGGTGTGAGAAGGCAGTGAGTAGGACTTCCCTGACAGTGGTTGTATACACGTGGCCATGTGAGAGCATTTCGAGAGGGAGAGCTGACCCTCCCCACTCTCAGCCGTATCAGGGCAGATTAGTTTCTGAGCACTTTAGAACAACAGTTAATTAGCAATTAAACTGTGAAATATTAAATCATAAAAATCTTGAAATACATAGAAAGCGGCATTACATCTATTAAATTTTTTAACGTTCTCTGCCCTTATTCTTTTCTCAACTCTTTTTTTGTGTACTGTTTTATACTACTTATTAGTATTCAGTAAATAGTTGTGTTCCTAGCAATTTGTGCGCGAATGTCGTGTAATATTCTAAAATATTTACATACGCTAATAACAATTATTGTATTTATCTCAATCCACGTAGCAGTCATTCTAAGATTTGTATGGTCAAATATTCTTTGTTTAAACACCACGGTTCACATATATGTTTGCTATTGGTTCGGTTTTTGCTTATTGATAAACTGTTATCAAGATTAGATATAGCTATCAGCTGTCATAATTATTCTTGATGTTATTATTGCAGGAATCCATTTTTCTTTCAGACTTACAGATGCACTAAGCGCCACAGATACTTTATGAGTTAAAGTTTTTAACTACTTTATATCTATCGTTCAATCAAGAACGGCTTTTTAGATAAATCGCCGTTATAGGAGCTTTGGTTTTGCGCATACCTTTGTCGCGTAATGAGACGTTTCGATAGATTTAACACCGCTCTTTAGTAGATGATATAATAGTCAGTATATTCACATTTAAACCAACATCAAATTGTTAGGGGAAGTAGTGAATCCTTCTATTATGTAACATAATCCTAATAAATCTAATGTATAACTTAATGATTTTGATGGAGTTTTGTTCTCTGAGCTGGATGATTTGGTCGTGGAGCTTTCATCGTTCTTCTGAACGACATCATCAGCACAAACTTCAGATAGAAGTGAAGTGTTTGATTTTCTCCTTATGTGTTTCACAGCTTGTTCTGTGCACCTCGATGTTGATTGGTTCTTGTTGACCTTAAATTTATCATCGTTCACTTCTTTGTTTTGGTTGTGTCTCCCATTGTTTTGATTTTTGTTCTTATATATATGCATGATTTTCCTGATTGGTTGATAAATTGGATTGATTTCAATATGTTTGTTGATTGCTGATTGACCTGAGTGCCAGGCTTCTAGAAATTCTCTGGTGTTTTTGGAGTTTCCTCTGTCTAAGATTTCTACATTTTCCCAATCGAATGAGTGTCCGTAGTTATCCACGTGTATTGAAATAAGTGAAGAGATATCATGGCGTCTGACTGCTAATTGATGTTCATGTAGGCGTAGGTGGAGGGGACGTCCGCTTTGTCCGATGTAGTGTTTGTCGCAGTTGGTACAATTTATTTTGTAGATAATGTTTGATTTGTTCTCCTTTGTTATTTCATCTTTTGGTTTGCATAAGATTGATTGTAGTGATTTTGTTGGTTTGTGTGCCACACCTATCCCGAAGGTTTTCAGCAGTCTCGTTGCAGTTTCTGATATTCCTTGTATGTAAGGTAGGGTGATCCTTTTACTGATTTTTGTGCTTGACTTGGGTTGTGATGCTGTGTGCCGTTGGTGCTTTTTGATGAAGTTGATTGGGTAGCCGTTCTTTTGAAATATGTCCTTCAGGTATTTCTCTTCATTTCTTCGTGCTGCCAGTGTGCTGCAGTGTGTCCTCGCCCTCTTGAACAATGTGTGTACGCAGTTGATTTTGTGAGCCCTTGGGTTGTTGCTGTTGTAGTTGAGAATTTGATCTGTATGGGTTGGTTTCCTATATACTTGAGTTTCCAGTTTTCCTGTATCAGTTCTAGTGATCAATATATCCAAAAATCCTAGTTGGTTGTTTGACTCCTGTTCCATTGTGAACTTGATGTCATTGAAGACGTTGTTGATCAATTTGTATGTGTTTTCCAGTTCATCCTTTTTGACGATGACGAAGGTGTCGTCTACGTAGCGAATCCAAATTTTTGGCTTGATCACTGGTAATATCGTGGCTTCTAGTCTTTGCATCACTGCTTCTGCGATCAGTCCTGATATTGGCGATCCCATTGGTGTCCCTTTTGTTTGTTTGTAGATTTTTTTGTTGAATTGAAAATATGTTGTTAGGCATAAATCGATGAGCTCCAGTAGACTTTGAATTTGAAGCGTCGTGTATTTGGTGAGATTTGTGTCGTTGTTGAGTAGCAGGGATATAGTTTCTTTTGCTAACTGTGGTTCAATTGAGGTGAACAGTGCTGTTACGTCGAAGGATATCATGAGTTCGTCGTTGTTGATTTGAATGTCCTTAATTTGGTCCAAGAATTGTGTTGGGGATTTGATGGAGTGTTTGGCTGAATCTACTAGATGTCTCAGTATTCGTGAAATTTCTTTTGACAAATTGTACGTTGGCGTTCCAGGGAGTGCTACTATTGGACGTAGTGGAATGTTCAGTTTGTGTATTTTGGGCCTGCCGTAGAATCGAGGGAGTACTGGTCCACTGGATTTCATTCTCCACGACCAAACCATCCAGCTCAGAGAACAAAACTCCATCAAAATCATCCACCTGAGCTACAAATCTTCTCCACCATCTCATAACTTAATGATCATTTATATGTTATATCTAACTAGGTTTTTCTAGAGTACTAATGATAAAATTTATGTCCATAATATAAGTTGATTATGTAATTTAACAATGATTAGTTTTACACTTGAAACCGATAAACAACTAAGAAGAAGTACCATTCATTTTCAATATTGAGGTTGTGGAGATTACTAAGTTTTTGATTGAGATTATGAACCGATTCATGTTAGACCATCATTGAAAACCTAGAAGCACTGAATGGGCTGTTTCGTCCCATTTTGGGACTCCTCAGCTGGTGATTCATGATCTCAATAAAAAATCATTCATTTTATTCGACCAAAAAAAATCAACGATAGTATCCTTATAAGAAAAAAAGTGATTGTCACAATTTATGTGACTATCCTATTTATAAGAAACGAGAAAAACATTTAAATCATTGAAATGAATAGGGTTTATACACACACACATACATGAGTGCAAGAGAGCGAGCGAGCGAGAGTTTATATTCAATAACCAATAAATACTCTACAGTACTAGGTATTATATATATTTCTGAAAGAAACAACTATATAAACATACATAAATTAATAACTGGAATTTTGTACTACCACTACTACTGCTGTGGTGTGTACTACTTATATTGACATAAGTAGTATATGATGTTAGTCGTGAACAGAATGTCTGGCAGCAGAGAGACAAGAGAATCGAACCGTAAAGAATGGAAACAGAATGCAATTTGTATGAAAATGCAAGAACAATGAAGTTTGAGTCATTATGAGACAATCGATGGACATTTTGCAAATTAAGCATTTACTTTATGATTGTTAGATTTTATTAACAAATCCTGTAAATTTTGTGTCAAATACATTCGATTGTCCCCACCCGTGTTCTGTTCACTACACTGTTACTTCACAGTTTACAGTGAGAAAAGAATTCTCTACTACAATCAACCTACCCAGAACACACATAGTAACAACAACAACACGTAAAAAACGGTTTCTAGATTATTAGTTCAAATCTGAACTTATGAATAGTAAAAATTACATATGGATTAGGCAATAATGATTACAGTCTGAAAAAGAGATTCCCTTTATCATCAAAAAGTATGATGTAATATCAACTTAGATAATAATTTATCACTAAGAAATTTATTCATAAAAACAATTTATAGAGTTAAAACTCAAGATATTTGAAATATGATCTACAAATGATAATCATATCTTTTAATGAATGATTTATTGAAAACTATACAATCAACACCATGGTCAGAATTTTCAATACAAATGTCAAGACAGTTCTACTGTATAGGGTGGAAACCTGAGGAATTACGAAAGCCATCATCTAGAAGATACAGGTGTTTATTAACAGTTTGTCTATGCAAAATACTTCGGATCTGTTGGCCAGACACTATCAGCAACAACCTACTGTGGGAGAGAATAAACCAGACTCCAGTGAAGGAAGAAATCAGGAAGAGGCGATGGAAGTGGATAGGACACACATCGCGGAAAGCACCCAACTGCGTCACTAGACAAGCCCTT